CCTTGTTACCCTTGTTACCCTTGTTACCCTTGTTACCCTTGTTATCCTTGTTACCCCTTGTTACCCTTGTTACCCCTTGTTGCCCCTTGTTACCCTTGTTACCCTTGTTACCCCTTGTTACCCCTTATTACCCTATGTTACCCTTGTTACCTTTTGTTACCCTTGTTACCCGTTGTTACCCCTTGTTTACCCTTGTTACCCCTTGTTACCCCTTGTTACCCTTTGTTACCCCTTGTTACCCCTTGTTTACCCTTGTTACCCCTTGTTACTCTTGTTACCCTTGTTACCCTTGTTACCCCATTTACCCTTTGAGTTGGTTCTGAACGTTTAGACCTCGGTTAAATGTGAGGTTACTGGCGGTGAATAACAAGTCTGACAAAACAAACAGTGAAAAAAGAATTATCTATATTTCTCAGTCACACCAGGCTTCAAAAACACCATAGCAATCTTATGTACTGATTAAAGATATGTAAGGCATGGGCAAGGAGTCAATTACGTTGAGCATGTTACGAGTTGGAATGTTTCGAGGATAATTATTTAGTGACTATCAGCACGCAGGGATGTCGGATTAACTCAAGCAAGTTTAATATCAAAGAAACATAGCCTTTACAGAGCTTTAAAACACAGCATCCGCCAACATAAACTTGACTTGAACTTACGTGAAACTACACAGCTTCTGCCAATAATAACAAACTCTCACTTGAACTTCAGATATCTTACGGCTTCCGCCAACTTGTAAACACAGAACTTGAAAATCGACCTTCGTCACACTTGACTAAACACAGCAGTCCAACTCGTTGGAAAAAACTTAGTTGGTCAAAAGAACTCGCTTGGAACTTGTATACCGTTTAACATAAGGTTCTAGAAAATACTAAACAGGCGACTAGTGGTGGCGCAATCGGCTAATCCTTCAACTTAGAGTCTGCTTTGATCTGACGGGTCGCACAGGTGAGTCAGTTCAAACCCCGGGAAAGCCAAAATAATAATTCTTTCTTCCTCGAAAAGGTTAAAGAATAAATCAAAGAAATCGAAGTGATCTCGAGATATCTCGAACTAATTCGGCTCTCACTTCGTCAAATAGCCGAATAAAACCAAAAACCTACAGGCTTTGCTTGCCCAATCTTGTCAAAAAACTCAACTTTGATACATTCCTGAACGCCGCGAATCCTTGACTTCGCGCTCCGCCGAAGTAATCGGAGGCATACTCGACTTGTGTCTGTGTTGTGTGTTTTTATACTGTCTGTTCGCTTCTGTTTGCTTTGGGGGCCACTTGAAAGAGCCATTTGCACTTACAATAAGAAGTTTTGTTTAAGTAGTATAGAAATTATGAGCGATTTTATAGTGTTTCGGTAAATGTACTCCCCTGAATGACGGCTTTCTGAAGTTTAGAGATGTTTTTAAAATTTTACGATGCTTATGTCCTCGTTTATTTCTTAAGTGTTTTGTTTGGTGTATTTTTGACTTAGCTTGATTTGAATAACATGACCCACTGAACTGATACAAACACTTTCTATAGCCCCTTAACTGTCCTTATTAACAGTGTTTAACTGTATTGTTTTAGGGCTGCTAATGGATGCTAGGGGAGTAAAAGGGATAACTATAGCAATTGTGGTAGCTGTTCTTGTCATGCCATTCATATATCACAAGCATCTGAAGTGCAACATGTCTGCTATCGTCAATCAGGTGGTAAGTTGTTCAAGTTCGTTTAAAGACTCTATGAGTTGAAGAAACAGTTCACCGCCAGAAACATTTCTCGACCGCTAAATATTGGGCTAATTTTCTAAGCAACTGCAGCTAACTGCGGAAAATGTAGCAAAACGGTGTTCATTTCTCACTCAGCGATGCGCGCGCCAGGTAAATTTTGACAGATTTTTAAACCCTACTCCCTGACGCCAGGATAAAAGAATCGTTTTCCTAAGCATTTCTTATACCTTGACGTTATGCAGTCGTGTCCTCTTCAGTCTTCCTTAATTAAAAACGTTAAAATGTTTCCATAATAGATAGTCTGATCCTTTTTCTGTTTCAGTGTTCTGAATACAAGGCAGGAATTGTTTCTGGGTCACTGTGTTCTGATCTTTGTGAACAAAACAGCATTCATCTTGGAAAGTGTTTGTCCACAGTGACCGACAAGAAGATTTATGACGGTGACTGGAAAGGAATGCAGGTGATCGTAAAAGTTAACATGAGCTGGTTTGAAGAATTCGAAAAACGCAAAAACATAACGGATAACCACGCAGTCGCGTCCTTTGAGAAGGAACTTCAATCCAGAGTGAGTACTCTGTTTGGTGATTGCCCTCGATGCGGTGAACTAGCGTTGCTATTAGCAACACTTGGCGACGGTAACAGCGATGGAGTGGTCATTGGTTCCGAGGCCAGGACATTCATATCTTTACTGCAATTCATAGAGCCTACAATGTTAATGATTCTAAATGACAGCAAGCACACAGTGGATTTTTATGGGTACTGTGGTGGATTATATGCGCTCGAAAAAGTACCTAAAGTTGTCTCCAAAGAGTTTGGAGCCCACTGGGAACCTGTGGACATTTCATTTCTTTCTTATGGAGACCCGTTTCAAGAAATGCTTAATGAATTTTTAGGGGGAGTTCGAAACGCTGTGATCTTTGCTATGCAGTATTGTTGCGCAGTTTTGAACGACGCGCTTAATTTAACAAGGTACCACATATTTGCAACGTTGTTTCAGATGCTCTCTCCCAGTAAACGTGAAAAGTTCGAACTGGCGTATTCAATGTTGGACGCGACACTGGAAATTTCCAACAATCCGTACGGTTTGGTAAGGCAGTGCGACGGACACTTAGGAAACTTTGGAATTACCAACAACGCATCGGTGAAAATAATTGATCTTGACCTAACCTATCCCCATGTTTTCCTAAAGACGCTTTTAGAGCAAAAAAAATGCGTATCGGACGAGGAATGCTGGGCGGGTAACTCGGAGGGTTGCTTTTCTTTGTGTAATACAAGCTCAGGCTTCTGCACACCGACAACTGTGGTCCAAGGTGTACACATTATCTGCGAGGTTCTTTTCCCTATCATCTTTCGAGGTCCCAATATCCTAGAACCACAGGGTCATAACACCACCTTCCTGACAAAAGCTATCAGTAAACTTGGCCTATTTTGTAGTAAGCTGCCAGTGGTGAACTCTATTGAAGACTTAAGGCGTGAAATTCTTGCTGTTAAAAGAAGACTAAAAACTATTGAAATCAGGTCATCAAAGAAGTGTTAGATGGCAGCACAGAAGAACTGCGCAAAATAATAATAATAATAATAATAATAATAATAATAATAGAGATCAGTGGCACTTTATCAGATCGCGACATGCATAACTCGCAGATTTTACGAAAACAATTACAGCCCTAATTTGTGAATTACTGATTCTCTTCAAAATAAAAAAAAGTACTTTATTTGAGCGTCAATGTTTTTAGCACGAAAGCACTTATTGCATCGGACTCCATTTTACGTCTCCTTGTGGAGACGGAACCCTCATTTTAAGTAGTCATCCGAGCCACGCGGAAGGTCTAGCCTCTGGGCTGTACTCGCAGACAATTGAGCTAACCAGTCAGATCGAAGCAGCCAACACCAATCCCCAGAAAATACGTGCTTCTGATTGGTAGTGGCCGATATGTTTTTATCCAGTCGTAAAACGAGGCAAACGCGAACATCTGTCGACACAGCCACGGCGCGACACTCAACCAACGATCGACGAACACCATCATGGCCAAGACGTTTAAAATGTTACGTTCTGTTTCGTATATTCACTCAGTGAAAGATAGCCGAATTATCCTCAAACAGGCAATCCGAAGTTCTGAAAGGATAGGGATGGTAAACTTAACGGGAAAAAGACAAAACAGCAAAGAATCAAACAAAGTTATGCTCTCATTTTATTACGAATGTTAGTCACAGGAATTTGTCTATAACATTTTGGAGTATGCTACAGACAATGTGCAACGCGCTAGGCGTATTGAGACAACAGCACAATTAATAACACCGAAGATTCTACGTACGATGATCTCATTATACCCTGGCTGCCAGAGACTTTTCCAGCGCGGTTTCCGGTTTTTTGAAGTCTTTATACTGACCCGCGCGAAAACGTGGCTTCCGCCTACGGCCGAAGATGTGTTAGCCTTCGGCTAACACCGAACATTCCCGCCGCACGCGAGAAAGACCTCTGGTACCCAGGGTAATCTCACTATTGCTCCGAAAAAGATGTTTAGTACGAAAGTGGATAAATAAGCGTAAATAAGTTATCATTTGTACGGCACGAACTAAACTCCGCTAGATAAGGACAATAATAAATCACCAGATAAAATTACCAACATTCAGAGTGGAGGTATGCATAGAAACCAGTCTTCACCTCATGAAAGGGAATCCATGACAGTCCTACTCCGGTAATTCCGGATTCCCCGCCATGGATTCCAGATTTATGTCGGTGAAACTTGGATTCTTGATTCCAGTTGTTAGTAGGATCCAAATTCCTTGAGCTGTATTCCAGATTCCAAAGCCCAGGATTCTGGATTCCACGAGATGAATTTCCCGGATTCCGGATTACACGAGCAAAATTTTTCCGGACTCCGGAATCCCTTACATGAGGCGATAATGAGGCGATACAACTATAAAGAAACGCGCATTACAAGGGATACTGATATCGACAACGTAGAACCTAAGTTAGGTGTTTTTACTTGAAACCCTCTCAGGCATTTCACTCTAGACAAATAATAATTATAATAATAAAAATGGAAAAGCTGTCCAGAAGTTGCCAAGCTGCCATCTTACACGACGTACCTTGAATAATTTCAGTCATGGAACTGAACGACATTCCAGTTGCGGTAAGACAGGAAAAGAATCCAATCCCCGAAAATTATAAGGCTGCGCTTCTTTTTGCCTTTGAATCCGAATCTAAGGAAACGCCGAAGCTCCGAATCTGAGGTATCGAATTTGGATTCAATTCACTGAATTCCCGCCGACTTAAGCGTGAGAAAACAGCCGACACATTTGGCGACGCCACCACTGGTTGAAGTCTGAGGAACGATTGCAGAAATTCCATACTGATGACGTGTCACTAATCAGAACTGGGTAGTGACTGGGTAGTGACGCGTCACCAGTATGGAATGTCCGCGCTCGTTTCTCAGACGTCTTTGGCGGGGAATCCAGTGGTGACGTCGCAACCTCGTTCCCAGGTTGGTGGCGTCGCTGTTCGACATGTATATTTAAAAGATTCTGAGTAGATTTTTGGATAACATGTTCCGCCGGTCTGGGTCACTTTGTCAAGTCGCCTGGCTGGCTCAGTTGTCATTTAATCACGACGTTGATTTTAGTTGCGTTTAAACTTAGATGCCAAGGTCTCGACAAAGCAATTGTCGAGCCCCGAGCAATGGAACGAATCGTTTTTAAGGTTCTAGTATCCGGATTCAGATACTTCCAAAGAAATGCAGCATTAAATCTCCCCATTCAAATCATGTAACTTGGCAACCTCCATGGAGTTGTTTTTACTTTTGGATATCATATTTTTGACAAGTTGACAAGGGCAAACATGGCTTCTTCTTTAAATCAATTAAATGATTCACACGCGACTTCATAACACATTACCAACCCCTACAGTGTTTGTTTGGACAAATCCTTTACTTGCTTTAATAAAGTACACACGCTAAACCCTTAAACAACTACTTTTGTATGTAGAGCCCAAGAGTGAATTCTGAGAAAAAAAAAGTCCACGTTGCGAGGAAAAAGCGAGGAAAGCTTGGGTCGAGGATTGGTTTGGCAAAACTGTTAACAGCATTCACAGAAAGGCTGCTCTACTAAGCAATACAAGGGCTTTTGTTTCAACTGCTGGTGCTCGCACGTAGCTTTATTCGTCAGCACCCAGTTGCTTCAGCAGGGCTCTTCGTCTGCTTTCCAGTTCACTTTCGCTTTCACTCGAAGTAGTGTCCCATCCGGTCTGGAAGAAAAACAGCAAATCAATCATAAGTCCCCTCTTCTTCAACGGTCCTCTTGCAGCAAACCGTCAAATGGTACAAGATAGCCAGCAAATGAAGCTGTGGGAACCTTTCTTTCCTACCCCGTCGCACTGTTTGCTGGGCAGCGTGGCTAATTTTTTACCATGTGACGGTTTGTTGCCAAAGACCTATTCACCTAGCAAGAAGGAAGAATGTCTTTTTAGTGTTCGTGTGAGAAAATTTCACCCGGGCACAATGACCAGCGTTTCACGTGCGCACGCTTGAATGTGATTCCGAGTATGCGTAATTTTAGCTTGGCATCTATTTCTTTATCCTGAAATAATCTTCCAAATTTCTATTTAAAAACGGAGGATAACATAACCAGGACCGTACAAAATTATCGCTCACTAAATGGCATTTGAGTTGCAATGTCCACACACTCAAAACTATGATGCTAACCGTCACCAAGATAAGTTTATGATTTCGGTTCAGAATTTGCGTCAAGGCAGGATGATAAATAACATTCAGAGGACTAATGTTAAATATGTACACGAGAGCATACATAAAATGCCCCTTTGTCGCACGCGACTTCAAGGCAACAGATCTCGTGGTAAGAACCAATCACGACAAGTGCGTCCTTTGTAACAAATGGACGATTCAGCACGCACTCTTCCCCACCTCCAAAAACCAATGTTACCAACGGAAAATAAATTTCATCAGAAGTTTCTAACCCCACCACTAAAAAGCCCTCCCTTTAATCAATCTACATCTCGTCTATAATGTTTCAAAGATGACCCTGAGCACGAAACTTTAAGTTCGTACAAACACATAACCAAAATTAATTTCCAACAGAGAAATGAGGAAGCAAACTTGTCAGTGTTTTAATTCCACTAAGAACTGTTACAAATAAGGTGGAATGTAACAATAACGAGCTATTGAAAAATATACAAATTTTTCCATAAAAGGATATAATCGAGAATAGTTAGTCTCTCTGTAAATATATTTCAAACTTTTTTCTCTTTCGAAAGTTCTTTTTTCACAATTAATTATTAACCTATATTGCATCAAAGGCAAAATTCGAAAGGGCATTTAAAAGAGCATTTCCTCGCCAAGAAAATTATTTATAATTCTCAACAAAGTTAAACTTTTGTCCGCCTTAAAGAAACCCATAGACTACGCATAGACATCTCATGGTTCCGTCGATTATGGGAGACGATTGAACGCAGGCTAAGGCTCCGTTTATATAAAGAAAAGTTGTTCCCGGAAAGAGGGTCAACCTCCCAGCCAAGCCAACTTTGGCAGCGTTTATATGGGAAAAAAGTTGACCCCCCTGCCCGGGCCAACAGCACTCGCGCATGCTCTGATTGTCTCGCCTTAACCAAGTTGATACGGCTGGGTGTGCCAAAGTGTTTACATGGAGAAACGTTAACCCGGCTAGGAGGATGACCCTGCCATCGATAAAAGGTGTTCGCCAGAGACAACCTTTGTTTCTCGAGTTAACAGTTCGCCAAGTTTTAAAAGGAAATGACGGGAAAGATGGCTCGCCCTGGGTAGCTTGGCTGGGTGGGGGACTCTTCTATCCGGGACAAGATCTCTCCATATAAACGGGGAAGAAGTGCATTGAGTCGCGTGTGATCGATAACCACCGTAAATCTCTACTGGTAACGTGAGAGTTTTTACAGCTTCAGCGCCCTGAAAGGACGCTGGTCGATCCTCCATGGTCATGAAACTTCTCTTCCTGACACCATCTTCTTTCTCTGCGGCCCGTGATGTACACGACCTGTAAAAACAAGAGCTATGGACAAGATCTTCACGGAGATCGAGTCAGCACCTTATCCTGAGATTTCTTGGACCTGTCCTTGGATTTCTCACGGTCCTTTTCCTTGCCCTTATCTCTATCCCTATCCCTGTCTCGGTCCTTCTCTCTGTAGTCCCTTTCTTTGTCTCGATCACGCTCTTTCTCCTTCTCCTTCTCTACTTCTCTGCTGCGGTCACCGTCCCTTCCTCCCCGGTCCTTGTCTCGGTCACGTCTATCGCGATCTCTGTCCTTGTCTTCCTTCTCTCTGTCAGATTCCTCAGAAGGCTGATTTTAAGAAAGAGTAAAGAACAAAAAACGAAAAAAAAAAAAGACGAGTAATTAAATCGAGCGTTAAAGCAATTAACACGAAAGTACTAATTGGGGACACTATTATTACGTCTCATTTTGGAGACAGGACTGCCATTTCAAGTAGTCGCCCGAGCCACGCGAACGTCTAACCGCTTGCAGGGCAAATGCAATACCTTCATTAATCAT